CTACTGCTGGCAGTTTCGCGACTGGAACACACTTGGTTGGCAACGACTACTACCTCCCACATCACGTCGGCCTCACTCGGGACCAATCTTCCGATTCTTCATCGGCCTCGGATGGTGCCTGGAGAGAACCCTCGCCACCTTGTCGAACATTATCTGACTTAGAGTTTGATTTTGGAATGCGTGAGATTTGACTGAATGATGGTTGTCACGGGCGAAAAGGTATGTCGCATTGCAGTTCTGATGTGCAGGTTGCATTGACTCATTTCATCCGCTTGTTTCAGTTGTCGGTTGCTCATGCATTTCATGTGTCCTCATGCATCAGTTTCCTTGTTTCCCGTATCACTAGACAGTGTGACCGGAACTGCTCGGAGTGTAGTCTTCGGCATGGCGTGGGTGGAGTGGTGTTCAGATCCTCGACAACCTGAACATCAGTGGATTAAGATTTGGGAGCCTGGACCCTGGGAGTTTGTACTCGAAGATAAGCAACCTCCCTCGGGAGTTCAAGTGTGTGTGTGTGTCTGTGTCTGTGTCTGTGTCTGTGTCTGTGTCTGTGTCTGTGTCTGTGTCTGTGTCTGTGTCTGTGTCTGTGTCTGTGTCTGTGTCTGTGTCTGTGTCTGTGTCTGTGTCTGTGTCTGTGTCTGTGTCTGTGTCTGTGTGTGTGTCTGTGTCTGTGTCTGTGTCTGTGTCTGTGTCTGTGTCTGTGTCTGTGTCTGTGTCTGTGTCTGTGTCTGTGTCTGTGTCTGTGTCTGTGTCTGTGTCTGTGTCTGTGTCTGTGTCTGTGTCTGTCTGTGTCTGTGTCTGTGTCTGTGTCTGGTTTGTGTCTGTGTCTGTGTCTGTGTCTGTGTCTGTGTCTGTGTCTGTGTCTGTGTGTGTCTGTGTCCTGTGTCTGTGGTGTGTCTGTTGTGTGTGTGTGTGTGGGTGTGGGTGTTTTTGTTTGTGTTTGTGTTTTTGTTTGTGTTCGTGTTCGTGTTGTGGGTGTGTTGTGGTGTTTCTCGACTTCGTCGTCCGCGTGTGCGTCTTCTGGCTCATCGCCTGTCTAGGGATGGCTTCTGCTTTCTCCCGCTCTCTTCTTCCTGTCTTTCGTGATCCGCGCGTTTGTCTTCTTTGTTTTTTCCCGCTCGTTTTGGGATGGCCTGTTTGTCCTTGCGTTGTTCACCGTTCCCCTCGTCGTCTTCTTCCGGTCTGCCTATCTGCCTACCTGTACTCCTTGTTTTCCGCACGCAGTTTGGCTTGACGCCTTCTTCCCCTTCAGTTGCTTTTTCGTGATCGTCCTCTTGGCCCCTTGCGGGATTCGACGTCTTCTTCCTCGAGCCTTGACCTACATCCTCGGTTTCTGACTGGGCGGGATGCGACGCCCTAAATACGCACACTGCCCCCTACCCACCCCTTCTTTTTCTTTCTTTCTTTCTTTCTTTCTTTCTTTCTTTCTGTCTTTCTTTCTTTCTTTCTTTCTTTCTTTCTTTCTTTCTTTGCTGTTTTTCTTCTTTTCTTTTTTTTTCTCTCTCTCTCTCTCTCTCTCTCTCTCTCTCTCTCTCTCTCTCTCTCTCTCTCTTTCGCCTCCCCCCCCTTTTTTTCCCACTACTTCCTGTTGTTCCTCATCGCCCGTTAAGGGATGGCCTGTTCGTTTTTATGTTCTTCAACGTCGCGGTGTTCTTTGTTGACAAGGTTTAGGAGGGTTTCTGGACTGCTTAGGGTTTTTGCACTTGGCGGTGACCCTAAACTCGGGTTTCTATTTTTCGTGTTTCTTGGTTGGGGTTTTGCTCGCGGAGACCCAACGTGGGACCTTTAAGTTTCTTTTGTTTTCTTGCTCCGTTTGTTTTCTGTTGGGGTCTTCGCCCGGTTTTGGGGCGCGTGTTTCTTCTCGAAAAGGTTTTTTTTTTTGGGTCTTTTTTGATCTCTTCGATTGCATCTTCCATGATGAATCACTGCCCCTCATAGAGGGGCGCGTGTGTGCGGAGTGACAGAATTACCCTGTCACCAAACTTGTCAGCAGGGGGCTTGAGGCTTCTCATCAGGACTCAGGCCAACGAAGACGCCTGATGAGAAGTGTGGTGCAATCCGGGCGCTGGATTGTGTACCTGCAACGGTTGTGCAAAGTCCTTTTGGCCCGCTGTTTCTCTCGCTGTGTGCGCTTCTTGTTGGATGTGGTAACGTTTTCGACACTAAAGAGAAGCCAAGTGTCGTGCAAGCCGAAAATCCACCAACTTGAGGCTCACCAGCTGCACTCGAAAGATGAGACCTGTCCGTCGGGAGTTGAATTGTGTGTGTTTGACAAGAATTGACTCCGGCCAGCCATGTTGTTATTTGAGCTGATTGACGGAGATCAGAAATCTGGTTAATTCCTACGCGCCTCCAACAGGAGGCCCAAGCAAAATCACGCGCGTATGGTGGCGCTTCCGCCGAGTCTCCTTTTGCTTGATTGGGAATTCTGTTCCTTCCGGCGCCAAGGGTGTTGCCACATGAATTGTGCCTGACTCGGTGGAAATGAATGGGGACCGCTTTGGCCCGCCTCATTCCGATGCAAGCCGCTGCCACTCGCCAGTTTTATAGCCGCGAAGCGGCAGGTGGCGCCCCCTCCTCAGCGCCAAGCCCTGGCAGGGGCGGGACCACGCATGTCCCGCCATTGAGCCGCGACCGCTGATCGCGCTGGCACCCGGAGCTCCGGCGCCAGGCCTTCACAGCCTAGGTGGGGTTTGCCCGCGGAGGGCCCTTGCAGCTGCTGTTGCGCGGGGGTAGCGGTGGCCACCACCCAGCCGGTGCCTGCATGACCCGTCACCTTAGCCAGTGCCGACCCCAGGGCCCGGAGTCCCGCGCAGAGGAACTTGCAGTGTTGGCACAGGGTGCTTGAACTCTTCGGTGAGGTTTACAGCATCCTTTGTTCCGTGAAATCATCCCAACGAGATGGAAAACGCAAGATGACCAAGTGCAAACACTTTCAGCAAGTTGTTGACCAGAACCTGCTAGGGCCTTTTTGCGGTTGGCTCTGCCCATCCCCCGGAAAGATTGGCGTGGAGAGGAAAGTTCAAGCAAAGAGCCTTTTTTTTCAAAGCAAAGCGCAGGAATCAAGTTCCTTTCCCGTCCTTTTTTCTCATCCGACTGAGGCGCCATGGGGGAAACACTGAGACTGCTGCAGCGACAAAACGAGAAAAAAAAACCGTGGCCGAGATTGAGATTGAGCGCCTGGCCTGTGACGGGCGAGGCAGAGGCATTGTGGAGTTTTATATGGGTCGAGTTTTTTTGTTTTTTTTTTTTTTTCGTCTTGGCTAAAAATGATATTTTACAGCATTCTCTCACAAAATGCACGTGGTTTACACTAGCCCGTCATATAGCAACATCAGCCTCGTTCTCAACCGCCCCCGCGCAGCCCCCCCCATGATTTCGAAGATTACCTACCTCCTAACCAACCTACCTACCACCTACCTACCTACATACTTACATTTCTACAAGCCTACATACCTCCTACATACCTACATACCTACATACCGACACATACCGACATACATGCATCCATACATACATAAACATAAACATAAACAAACAACAAAAACAGCGGGAGGCCCTCATGATGGCCGAAAAAGTGAGGATTCCAATAGGGGTGCATTCAATCTCTGCAAAGATCTAAAAGTAGCAGGAGCGTTGGGGGGGGGGGGGGGGGGCGACAGCACCCCAAGGTTGATCGAAAATGTGTTCAATGGGGGGTGCATTTTTAATCTCTGCGAACAAATCCACAAAGTAGCGAGGGAGCGACGAGGGTACACCAGAGAGGAACTGGGTGATGCTGAGGATGCGGGAAGCCTAAGCCAAAACCCCAACGGGGAAAGCAGAGGGGAAAACAATCCCCCAAAAAATTGGGCCCTCCAAAACAACGGTCTTTTTCCTCTGGGCTCTCCCACAGAATTAGTTCAAAAGCAAAACACACAAACCCGAAGAGGGTGCCAAGCTCAAAAGTGAGGTTTGTAATAACTGGCCAGAGGCCTGACATTCTCATCTTGGGGTCGCAACCCCAAAGAGGGGAAAAGGCAAGTCGACCAACCTGCGAGGGGGAAGCCAAAGCATCCGAAGAGGGTGCGAGCCCGGTCGAGATTCAAGACAGGCTGGGAGTTCCAAATGGTTTGGGACTGCTGCGAAGGCCAACCAAAGGGAAAACTTTTTTTTTTTATGGGATCTGATTTGGAGACACAGGTTTTCCAAGATGAGAAAGCTGCAGCACCTGGATGTGGATGAGGAGATGTGTTGCAAAAGGATGGTTTTGTTGGAGGGACCCCTTGCTGGGTCCTTGATGTGGAGAAGCGCTGGGATGGTTTGTGAAAGGGTGAAGTTAGGCGAGTTTCGACTTCATGGCGGATGTTTCCCAAAATTAGGGACATTGCGTTGCGCTTGGTTTGCTTGAGTTTTCTTTTGCCTCGAGGACATTCCTCGTGCAATTCCGCTGAGGAACTCCTTGAGAGGTCTCGGCCACCTCTGGCGGAAGTCCCCCATCGACCTGACGCAGGATGAGGGTGAGGGGCTATGGGCGCAATCGCAGCCAGTGGACTATATCGACACCTTTCTCTCCCACACTTGGTCAACACCTGGCATATACAAGGTCCTGTCGCTGACGATTCAGTCCGGTTGGTTCTTCATTCTGCTTTCTTGGGCCAGTGTTGCATCGATGTTCTTTGTCCTCTGCATCCTAGACGTCCTGCCGATGCCGTTTTCCGTCCATGTGACGGTGTTAGAGTTTCAGGCTCCATGCGAATCTGGATTTTGGGTGGTTTTCCCCAGCTTATTGATCGCAATCCTGTCGGTCCTTGTTTGGCCATGGGTGCCAGAAGTTTTGTGCCTAAAGTCTAACAAGTGCTTCCTGGACGTGGTGTGCATTCACCAGACAGATGCGGACCTTAAGGAGCGGGGGATTTATGGCCTGGGTGGCTTTCTGAAAGTCTCCCGCGAGTTGAGGGTGCTGTGGACAAGTCCATACCTTTCGAGACTTTGGTGTGTCTTCGAGCTAAGTTCCTCTCATGCCAGTTCACATCGAAGTGGGCGTGCTCTTGGGAATGACTGGCAGTTATGTTGCCTCCGTGTGCTTTGGGCTCGCTACTGGGCTGCCAAGAAACTCCTATGCTTCTGATTCATCAAGCACCCCATCATCTTTTGCAATGCCCTGGGCTGTGGAGCTCTTTTTCGGGTTGCTGCCGGTCGTGTTTGTCATCCATTCCCTCCGCAACATTTTTCAAAAGCAGGCGCAGATGTTGGAAGACTTGGAGCACTTTGATGCGGAACAGGCAAGCTGCAGATCCGATTTTGACCGAGATTTCATTTTTACTGGGATCGAGGCATGGTTCGGCAGCACCGCGAACTTCAACCACTACGTGAGGACCACACTCCGCAAATCCCTTCTGCGGAAACGGAACCCTTTTCCAGCTCGGTACTCTTCTTTGATCGTGATAGGGCCAGTCAGTCTGGGTCTGGAAGTTGTTCTGAGCATGTGCAAGGAGGGCGCGCCCTTTAAAAGTATAATGGTTTTCGTTGGTTGCCAAGTGGTCTGCGCCAATGTGATTTGGCTGATGTTGAGCATTAGGCTGCTGACTTTGCTCTCTGAGCATTTCTTCAGACACAGCAGCTCGCAGTGCAGGGACTACGCCAAATCGCTGTTTGTTTGGTTGGTGTTTTACATCTTCTTCTACATTGGCGTCCTAGCTGGTGGAGAAACCCGAAAGGTCAGTGAGGTGGCAGCTCTCATTTGGATTCTCACAGCGCTATCAATATTTGGGCTCGCAATGTGGAGTGGCCTGCTGTGATTTTTTTCTGGCATGTGGGTGGTTGTGCCCGAGCGTTTGCAACGTTCCCTGGCCACTAGGTATGTGGTCATGTGCAGTTGTTTTTCTTCTTCTATACATATACATATACACATGTATATGCAAATGCACAAGTAAACTCAACTTCAGATTTCAAGTTGGGGCGCATAGCCAGGCGCACATGCTTTGAACCACATCGCCTCTCAAATTTAACTTTCGGCAGTGCCTGAGGCGCCAGACCAAGACAGAGAACAATGGTTTCTGCGTGGTTGGCATGCGTTGGAAAACCTTCGGTGTTGGATGGCCAAGCCAGTCATTTGGGCGATTTGCAAGGCATGAATTGACCAGATTGCGCATCGGGCTGACTTTGAGTGGTTTTCAATTTTGAGCGCGCCCCCTCCCAAACGTTGAACCTGGCTGGAGCAGTTGTTTGGTGTTATGGTTGGGTCACGTTCCGAAGGGCAGGTAGTTCCCTCGAATCACCTCGTGAGGCATCGCCAGCAGGGAGGATGCTTCCTGAACCCTTCTCGAAGCAATCCGAGCATGGCTCTTGACATGTGGCCGTAGCCGTTGCCCATTGTCACACGCAGAGGTAGGGCTTCACTCCATTTGCGCGGCATGAGCTGCTTCATTCACGTTGCATCACACGGGTAGCGTGGGGAGGCAAGGTGGCAAGGTGGCCAGGTGATGCCTTGAGAATCTTGTCCGCGCCATGGGGGCTGCTGAGAGTTGCTGCAAGGAGGCGTGTGCGCCGTGTGCGCGGCCTGAAGGGCCTGGGCCCTGGGCTTTGGCCGACACGGATCCCGAGGGACCCGATGCTGACGAGGGTGAAGACAGCCAGCCAGTCACCGGCCTTGCCGGCGCGCTCTCGAGAGCGGCGGGGGGGTCGTTGGCGTGCCCACCCAGCCAGAGCAATAAATTGTGCAAGATAAGCCGGCTGCAGAACTTGCAGCACCTTGAGGTGGACAAGGAGATTGGGTTTTGTGCATGCGAAAAGGGAAAGGGGAGAAAAGAAGCCCCTCGATGGGCTCCTAGTTTGGAGAAGCAATCTGCTGGTGCGGAAAATAGTAGAAATGAGTTTCAGTCGTGAAATTGCAGCCATATATACGTCCCGCCGAGCGCGCAAACAGTATTAGGTGCAGCTAGGATGGTGCAAAACGGCCGCGCCGCGAAGTACGGGTCGGGCACCACCCTCAGTTATGCAACATTTGGTGACGAACCTCTCGCCAAATATGGTAGTCCAACGTGCAGAAACAGTGGCGCAAACCACGCGAAAACCGCAAGGCGGTTCCACATCATGCGAGGGAGAACGTAACAAGAGTCTGCAAAGGACACAAAAAGAGACAAGCACAGAGACAGACGCACACAAGAAGACGCGTGCACACACAGAGACACAGAGACACAGAGACACACATACACCCACACCCACACCCTGACCCACACCCACACATACATACATACATACATACATACATACATACATACATACATACATACATACATACATTCATACATACATACATGCATACATACATTCATACATACATACACACACACACAGACACACACACACACACCCAGACACACCCAGACACACGCACACACACCAACACACATCAACACACACCAACACACACCAACACACACCAACACACACCAACACACACCAACGCCAACACACACCAACACACACCAACACACACCAACACACACCAACACACACCAACACACACCAACACACACCAACACACACCAACACACACCAACACACACCAACACACACCAACACACACCAACACACACCAACACATACCAACACACACCAACACACACCAACACACACCAACACACACCAACACACACCAACACACACCAACACACACCAACACACACCAACACACACCAACACACACCAACACACACCAACACAACACACACCAACACAACACACACCAACACAACACACACACCAACACAACACACACACCAACACAACACACACACACCAACACAACACAACACAACACAACACAACACAACACAACACAACACAACACAACACAACACAGCACAACACAACACAACACAACACAACACAACACAACACAACACAACACAACACAACACAACACAACACAACACAACACAACAACACACACACACACACACAACAAACACACACACACACACACGCAACACACACACAACAAACACCCACAACACACACACAACACA